ACCCCGCGCCCGCGGAAGCGGCGGCTGCTAATGGGCCGTCGCTGGCAAGGGCAAGGGCCGTGGCGAGAAGGCCCCCCCGCTGCCGCGCGGACAGCCTAAGGCCAAGGCCAGCGCCGCGGCCAGGGGGATCGGCATGTGGCCGAGGGTCTACCACCATGGCTAGTACCCGCGGGGAGGTGCTATGGAGGCGTCCGAGCCCGCGGGCCCGCTCGCTGCGCTTCGGTCCAGGCTCGGCGACAAGGGCGCGGAGGAGCTGGCGACGGCGCAGGCCCTCCCTGAGGAAGTCGAGGCGCCGCCGCCCGCGGCCCCTCGGCAGCCCCTCCTGAAGGAGGACGTCTCGACCATGGGCTGCGTCTGCCGTCGGGGCAAGGCGTGGCTCGAGCGTTGCGCCCGGAAGGTGCTGGAGGGCGAGGCCTGGCTTCAAGAAGCTCGCGAAGCCGAGGACCAAGCAGTCCAGGCGGCCATGGGGGCCAAGCGCTCCTAGGAGGAGGCGTGCGCGAAGCTGCTGCCGCCCGCGGCGCCGCCGCCGCCCCCTCCTGCAGGCACTTCGCAGCTCAACCTGTCCACGCTCCTCGGCAACGACAGCGAGATTGACACTATCCTCGATGGCCCAATGTTCTGCCCGGGCGGTCTCGTGCTCGACCCTGTCGAGCTGCGGGGGCGCGTCGAGACCAATCTCGCGGCGGGCATCGAAACGGAGATCGCCAAGGTGCTCGGTTCCACCGCCGAGAACATCACCGCCCTGCGCGAGGAAGTCAAGCAGACCTCCTTGCGGATGCAGGCCACGCGCAGACGCGCTGCTGCGGTTGCTGGAGATGCTGGCGTTGGTGCCAGCGTTGCTGCTCAGCCACGTGACAACGCCGCTGCCGAGCCCCCCTGGCAGCGACGGCGGCCCTGCAGCTGCTGCCCCAGAGGGGCCTGGGGACCTTCGAGCTGCAGCCAGGCGCATGGCCATGGCAGCTTTTCACGCAGCGCGCGCCCCTGTTGGGCAGGGGCTTTAGCGGCGCCAGCTGCTCGGGCCAGCCCTCGGTCGACGACTGCAGCGACATCTTCATGTGCTTAGATGAGGAGCGCGCGTTCGACCCCTTGGAGCATAACAGCTGCCTCACCGAGGTCATTCTGCATAGCGGGCATCCGTGGCCCCAGCATGGAGACATTTCTGCGACGGCTGCTGAGGAGGCCAATTCCCGCCATCGATCAGCTCAGCCCTCGGCAATGCAAGCCATAGACAGGGTCAGGATCCCCAGCGCAGAACGGCGATTTACCATCGCGAGCTGCTCGTGCGACGGTTGCGCTCGTTCACCGCCCGATGGGTCCCTGATGTCAGTGTCTCTAATGGTGCTGCAGGCGCTGCTGATTGGAAGCGGCGCAGCACCCCGTTCGTGACCTGCTTCGTGGCTCAGCCAGCCCGTCGGCCGCTAGTCGAGGGGGATGCAGCGGCCGCGAGCCATGGCAACACCGCGGTGGCTGCGCTGAACATGGCCACCCGCATCTGCGAGCGCGCTTGGCGTGCCAGGCGCAATCAGAGGGCGCGCTACGTGACGTGGGGTCCGAGGACTGCGACGCCTGGCAGGCGGGGCTGCCGCGTCAGGCCGGCAGCTTCAAGGAGGCGAAGGGGGCCCTGGACTCTCTGGCGCCACATCGGCGTTCACAGGACGGCTTCACAGTGGTGCTCCGATTTGGTGGGCGGCCTCATCTGGCGGGATCATGCAGCTCGAGCTTGTCGTCGAGCTCGTGCCTTTCTTCATCTCGGGGCGGGGTGCAGGGCTTCAGCCCCTGATGGTCAGAGCCCTCCGCCCGCGTGGACTTCGGGCCCGGCGCGTTCTGCTTCGGCGACGTTGCGCGCGAGTATGGCCGCGAGTGGATCGCAGGATGCGTTGGGGTCGCGCTCGGCCAGTTCAGCGAGGGTTTCAGCAAGTGCTTCGGTTGCCGCGAGTGGACCGCAGGTTGGATCAGCTTCGCTTTCGGCCAGCCCAGCGATGATTTCCGCGGACGCCTCGGTTTCGCCTGCGGATCCAATTGCGGCTTCGGGGCCCTTGGTCGAGGGTCCTTCTGTCGAGGCGGGTCTAGACGATGCCGACCGCGACCCGTTCGATGACCTGGGGCGCATGGTCGTGGCAGGCTCAGTTGAATGGCAAAGGTCGGCTATTGCCCCAGATGGCCAGGGGCGCGTCTCCCCTGGGCTGGGGGCATCGGCATGTCGGAGGGCGTCGTCGGGACGCAAAGCCCTGATGTGCCATTGCGGCTCGGCTACCAGGCTCTGAGTCGCCACGTGAACCAGTGGGTCCTGCTGCTGGTCGAGTACTTGGCGCGGCGGCGGGGGGCGTGGCAGTCGCGAGGCCCGTGGGCCCTCCGAGCGCCACGAGCCCCCGCTTGGGGCTGCCGTTGGCGCGAGGGGCGGGAAGCGCGCCGCTGCTTGCGGGGCCGCGTGGGCGGGATCCGACTGCCACGCAGGGCGGCGTGATGGCGGGGGGGGGGCAGGGGGGCAGCTCTCAGAGCGCCCCGAGGCCCCCCCCAAGGGAAGGCGCAGCCACGCGACCGTTCCTTTGGTGCTGTTGCCTCCGTTTTCCCCGTGCCGCCCGCTGCTTCCCCGGGTGGCCAGGGGCGCGTCTTCCTTGGGCTGGGGGCAACGGCGTTTCAGATGGCATCTTCGGCCACTTCCCCAGACGGCCAGGTATGTGACTCCCTTGGGCTGGGGGCAACTGCAGGTCGAATGGCGGCGTCGGCTTTTTCCCCAGACGGCAAGGGAGGTGTCCCATCTGGGCCGGGGACAACGGCGCGTCGGATTTATTCCCCAGATGGCCAGGGATTTTCCTCCCCTGGGCCGGGGGCAACGGCATGTCGAATGGCGACGTCGGCCACTCATTCAGATGGGCAAGGACGCGAGTTGGAGGCGTCATCTCTGCCGCTGTCACCGACCTCGCACAGGCTTCCGGCCCGGCCAGAGCTGGTGGCCCCTCTCCCTTCTGATGGCAGCTCCTTCTCGCTGCTTTATGGAAATGTTCCAGAATGGGACCAGCAGGCGCGCGAGTTCCTCAACGGCGCGTCCTTCACTATGGTGTGTTTTGTCGAAATGCATGTGCTGCAGTCCAAGTTTTCCGATGGTGTCGACCAGATCTTCGACGCTGGCGGCTGGGGGGCGGCCTGCGCTGGCAGCAAGCCCATGCGCATTGCCTTGCAGGTGGGCGTTCTTGGGTCCAGCAAGCGGCGGTGGCATCAGGAGCTAGTCGCAGACCCAGCTTTCCTCAGAACGTGCAGGCCCCAGAGGCAAGCATATCCAAGCAGCAAATCGTCCATTAAGAAGCAGGGTGGGGCTCGCCCGCAGACGTGCCAAGCTTCCAGCTGAACTCCAAGCTGAATTTGGCTTGCTGCATCAGCTTCCCCAGTCCGCATCCGGGGAAATTTCCAGACGCACTCTTCATCGTCACTTCCTGGGCGATATTATGGCTCGGGTTCGGCGCAGCTCACGGCGTGCTACAGCCAGTGGGTTACCAAGGTGGAGACGGCCTTCAGTTTCACCACAAGCATGGGGATTTCGAGCCCTTGAGAGGGTCAGGCCCTGGGCTCAAGTGGCAGCTCTCCCAGCCCCAGGTCGCGCTCACCTCGCGGACCCTGTAGGTGAGCAGCAGGGTATCGTCCACACTTTGATCATCCGCGCAGTATCGCTGGCAAAGCGTGGTCGAGATCCCAAGCAACTTGCTGACTGTCTGCGGCAATTTCAGTGCCGCGTGGGACACTCTGAGGATGCCGAGATATCCGGTTATTTGGGAGCAGACCACCAGGGCGAGCGTGATCGATTGCTGTGTGGGGCGTCAATCGCACCTTCAACGAATCGCGATGGGAGCGGCGACCCAGTGCATCTCGCGGAGCGCTTCGCACAGCGCGCGCAGGCATTCTCCCTCACCAAAGGGAGGCATCAGTTTGCCAAGTGGGTGCTGGAACAGTGGCGTCAGCATCCTGGTCGACTGCGCGCGATGGCTCGCGATCCCAATCCGGTGGTTCACGAGAGTTTCTGCAAGAGGCGGGTCATTGCTGACCCCGCGGAGGCTATGAGCGACAAACGACGGGATTGGAGATCTCTGTGGGTTGCCGCAGTCGATGACGCCGAGGCCATCGCACACATGCTGCAGCAGTTGCTTCACGATTCGCGCCAGGAACTACCACCACTTCTGGAGCTGTCAGCGCTGGACAGAGTGGCGGCCAAACTACCTTCCAAGGCTTCTGGGGTGGATGCGCTCGCGCCGTGTGATCTGCAGCGGATCTCTGACCAAGGGCGTACTGAATTTCTGGAGCTACTCAGCCCTCGTGACAAATGAAGGGATATGGCCAGCACTGTTGCTCACAACCGTTTGCGCTCTCCTTCCCAAGCCCAAAGGAAGTGAGAGAGTAATTGGGTTGTTGGCAGAGACCGCCAAGATCTGGAGCATATTGCGTTGTGGCGCCACATTGGAATGGTCGGAGAGTTTGCAGGCTCATTGGGATACGGCCATTGTTGGCAGCAGCGCTCTTAGAGCAGCGCTCCTGCGCTCACTGCTAGATGAGACTGCTACTACACTGGAAATATCAGTTGCGACGTTGCTGCTCGACGTTGAGAAGTTTCGCGACTCGCTGTCTTGGGTCTTGCTGAGTTGTGCAGCGCAGCAGTTGGCTTATCTACCCATCGTGGTCTGCCTCGAGGTGCAGTTATGTGCTAGTCCTCGGTTCTTGCGAGGCCAGAACGGCACCGCGGAGGCTATTCTACCGACGCGATCACTGGTGGCAATTTCCACACGTGGGCCACGATCCGCCAAGCTGTTCCTGCGCCCCGTGCTCCACCGAGCCCACCAACGGGCCGATTTATTTGTTTTAGTACTATTTTTGGAGTTTTGTAGACACCGTTCTTCGAGCTGAAGGAGCTACCGAGCAGGGTAAATCTCGCATGGTCTGCTCCGCCGCTGATTTCAAGTAAATATTGGACAGTGAGCGGTTGGTGGTCTCTACGAAGACAGTGTCGTTGGCCAGGGGCGTCAGCTTGGGTGACTAGCTGGCCAAGCGGCTTCGCCGCAAAGCAATTCCTGTGCAATTTTGTCTGTGGGCAGTGGATTTAGGCGTGGACGCGACAGGAGGTGGGCGACGGTCTGTGCGCAAGTCGTCGCAGCGCGTTGCTGCGGCTGCTAGACGCGCCCACCGACTACGACGCTTCCGTCGCCATGCTCGCCTTCGCCAAGTCTCGCAAGGCCCTTGGAAGACGGGAGCGCTGCCCCAAACAGCGTGCGGACATCGGGTGTTGGGTCTTGCTCCGTGCCAGTTGCCTCGGCCCCGTCGCCGTGCTGCCGCAGCGGGCGCGGGCCCGTTGAAGGGCAGATGCTTGGCCAGCACTCTGGGAATTTTGTGCGGGGGGCAAGGCTCCGCTTTGGAGTTGCGCCGTCAGCCCGTGGCACGGTATCTTACTGTGCGGCGTCTGCATCTTGAAGTCCATCAGGGAGTGGAGCAAGCTTGCCCAAGGATTATACGTCGGCTGGAGTTGGCAGGCCGGGGTCGGGCGAGTGAGGTGGGGGGTGGGAACTGGGACTTGTGGCTCCGAGTTAAGACTGCGCTTGTTTCACGTGCCCTAGGATGGGCGGCCTCTCACCTTGATATCGAGGCGGAGGCCTTTCGGGCCATCGTATTTTCCTCAGGGCTGGAAATCATCTGACCGACATTGCGGCCTCAGAGGCCGCTGAGTGTTCCAGGCTGCTTTCGACCCGCTCTGATCCCGCGGTCGACTTCTGGGACGCGCAGACCGCCTTAATTCGGCGTCGGGCTCGCCGGGCCTTGATCGACTCGTCCCAGGCCGATCCCAGGATGGCTCGGCCCTCGGTTGCCCCTTTGGAGAGAGCGAGGCAAGGGTCGAAGCTCGATCGAGCGCTTCGCGCGTCGCCGCACATATTCGTGACGTGTGGCAGCTCGGTGCTTTGTGATATGCATGACCTCTTAGAGGTCTCCCAGGCTCCTTGCGTCCCTGCCGCGGGGGTTGACCCCTTCCCTTCTGACGTCGTTGTCGGGGTCCCTGGGCCTGTCTCGATTTCTGGTGCGGCCTTACATCCTTCGCACAAGCTGGCGTTCTGGGATTTGCACAGCTTGTACTTGTACCAGGTTTGTTGCCGCACGGCTATTTCGGATGGGCGCCAGTTGGTGCCCGTGTGCCAAGCGCCCTCTAGGAAGGGCTTGGAAAACCTGGACAGAATTCGCCGTGGTTTGTTTCCGAGCTACGCAGGGCTGTCCAAGGCGAGTTCCCTGCTGCGCCACGCTCGCATCGTGGCCGTGCCCGATCAGCAGGCACGAGAACGAGGTTGTGCCGTTTGAGGCTCGTGCGCTCTGTGCTTGCTGCTCCCTTCCCATTCCCCTCCCTCCCCTCTGCACGACGTTGCTTGCCAAAACGTTCCAACAAAAATCCTCTTTCCCTCTCACGTGCACTGCGGCTTAGTTCGCATTTTGTGTGTCCCACTAATGCCACATCGCCGGAGCAGCACCTCTGCCCAGCCGCCGACGTGAAGTGTGTGTGTGTGTGTGTGTGTGTGTGTGTGTGTGTGTGTTTGTTTGTGTGTGTGTGTGTGTGTGTGTGTTTGCGTTTGTGTTCGTAGATGGGGTGGGGAAACGAGGAGAAGGGGGCGGGAAAATGGAGCGCGGAAGGGTTGAACGGAAAGGGAAGAGGTGGGGTGGCAGGCGGAAGGAGAGGGAGGTGGAGGAAGGTATGGCGGTGACTGTGTGTGGGCAAAATTGGGGGAAAAGACATGGGGGATGCATGAGGGGGAAAGAGTCAGGGAGAAGTGGGAGGCGGAGGGGTAGAGCGGGGGAAAGGGCGAAGGGGGTGGAAGGATGGGGAAGGGCGAGGAAGAAGAGAGGATGGACAACGGAAGGATCTGGAGTTGGGTGGCCCTCCCTCCCGTCTCCCCTCCCTCGGAGATGGGCGCGCCTCGGCCCCGGGGGCCGCGCCGCGCGCGGCGCGGGCTTCGGCGGCGGGGGCGCGGGGGAAGCTCCGAAACCGTTGCGAGAGAGAAAGAGAGGAGGGATGACGGGGAGGAAAGTCCGTGGAGGACTGAGGGCGGAACGAGGAGGGGCCTGAGGCCTGGGATGGGCGGTGGGAGGAGGTAGGACTGAGGATGGCAAGAGAAGGCAGGAGGAGGAAATGAAACGGCGGATGGGGAGTGGGTGAGTTCCTCCTCCCCTTGCCCACCCTGTCGTCGCCTTCCCTTGGTTCGGCATGTCCAATGGTAGGGGGCGACATGAGGCCGTCTCGGATCCCCCCTGGAAAAGGGGCGGGGGACTAAAGATAACCTTGGCGAGCGGCTCAATTCACTGCAGCTCCGTGTAGCGCAGGGCCTGGCCCGCTCCTAGTATGCTGCGCGCCGCGGGATGGAGTTCGGACAGAATGGACCGGGGGCTTCGGGGTTGGGTGCGCAGAGACGCGCGGAGCATCGTTGCCGGACACGGCCCGAGCGAGGGGCGGGAGGGGGCGTTGTCGCTTTGAGGGTCGGGATGTCCGCTGGGATGTTGGGGGGCGTTTCCGCACGCCCTGGCAACCCCCCTGGTGGTGGCCAGGGGGACGTCGGTTCTCATGGATCCTGCGGCACGGCGCTCCCAAGGGCTACGTGGAGTGCAATCCGGATGGGTGGGTGCAGATGTCGGATCTCTTAAAGGCACGCGAGTGGGAGCTTGAGGGCGGGAGGAGGACGAGTTGGAGAAGGACGAGGACAAGGAGGACCAGCAGCAGGAGTTTAATGAAGAGGATGATGGGGGCGGGAAAAGACAGGGGGGTGAGGAGCAGGGAGGATGGGTGTGGGAGGAGGTGAAGAGCAAGTTTAATGGATGGGGGAATGAAGAGGGATGAGTGAGGTCGAAAGATGAGGAGACATTGGGAGGAGGATGTGGGCGATGATGAGGAACGCGTAGGGATGCACGAGGACGTAAGGCGCAGGACAAACGTTGCGGAGGAGGAGGAGGAGGGGGAGGAGGAGGAGGAGGCGGATGAGGATGATTAATCACGCATGCATGTGAAAGAACAGGGAGGGGATTAAGAAGAGGATGAGGCGGAGGATCCATCTACAAGGATGCGAAGGAGGATGTTAAGAATGAGGCGAGGACAGAACGTAGGAAGGGGGGTGGGTGGTCGGAGATGACGGCGGGGTGGTGATGATGACGATTCCGATGACGACGATGACACTGATTAGGTTACTGCTGATGGTGACTGACGACGCTGACGATGCTGATAATGGTGATGATGACGGCGATGGTGCTGGTGGTGGTGGTGGTCGTTACGATTATGACGATGTTGGCGAGGATGATGATGACGACGACTGACGATGATGGTGCTGGTGCTGGTGCTGGCGATGCCGATAATGGTGATGATGACGGCGATGGTGCTGGTGGTGGTGGTGGTCGTTACGATTATGACGATGTTGGCGAGGATGATGATGACGACGACTGACGATGATGGTGCTGGCGATGCCTGGTGATGATGACGGCGATGGTGCTGGTGGTGGTGTTGTTGTTGATACTGATGATGATGTTGTTGATGCTGATGCTGCTGCTGCTGCTGATGATGATGGTGGTGGTGGTGGTGGTGATGATGATGATGATGATGATGATGATGATGATGATGCCGAGGACGATGACGATGTCGGTGGTGGTGATGACGATGATAGAGGGGGCGAGGGGTGGACGGAGGCACCGAGGGAGTGATGGGGCGGGTAAATGATAGTGGGAGGGAGTGGGCTCCAGAGGCTGACGGGGGTGCGTGGGCGAGCTCGCTCACCCCCACCCCCCTATAATGGCGTTTTCGGACCCCAGGGGAGGGGGACAGGGGGGAGGGGAACAGCCAAGTGTCTCACACGCCCTTTCACCCCCAGCAAGCGGGGATCGGCGGACGATCCCGAAGCTCGAGAGATTTGCACAGGTTTCACGGATGGACGGCGCTCCCTTTTCTCAAACTGTGGCTCTCCCCGGAGCGCCGCGCACATATTCGTCTTCCGCGTGCAGGCGTTGTGGCTCCTTTTCAAGATGTGGTCCTCGATTTCGCGCCGCGCACATTCGTTTCAAGAGTTTGTGAGAGTTTCGCGCATGGAGTTTTTTTTTTTTTTTTTTTTTTTTTTTTTTTTTTTTTTTTTTTTGTTTTTTTTTAATTTCAAAATGTGGCTCTCGCCTTAGCGCCGCTCACATTCGTTACAAGAGCTTGCACAGCTTTCACAGACTGAGGGCGATTCCTTTTCAACATGTGGCTCTCGCCTCAGCGCCGCGCACATTCGTTTTCAAAGTTTGCAGGAGTCTCAAGGATTATCATGTCTAACGTCCCAGAAAGTTTTGGCACGATGTCGGAATGTCAGGGCGCAACAGTCACGTTGATTCGCGGTGTTGAAGTCCCAGGAATGGTGTTCTGGCACGAGTCAGGATCGTCAAGACGCAACAGTAACGGTGATTCGCAGCGTTGAGGCCCCAGACACGGCGTTATGGCACATTTTTGGTTTTTCAAGCGGTTGTCTTCCAGCGGGGCATTTCCTTTTAGTGAAAGGAATCCATGCTGGTGCCTATGAAGATGGAATTTGAAAGAAGGTTGTATTGCAATGTCGTTGATGCGTCTCGGGTTTACAGCAGTCCTCCTCCTCCTCCTCGTCTCCATCCTCCTCCTCCTCCTCCTCCTCTTTCTTGTTTTCCTTCCTATCCCCATCCTTTCTTCCTTCCTCTCCGTCCCTTCCTCTCCGACAGCGAGGCCGAGATCCTGGAAGGAGTTTCCCGTGAGACCATCGACAGGGTCATCATCGACTCCAACGCGAAGAAGCTGCGGCGCCCGAGGGAGGGGCGGCGCCGAGGGGCTCACGATTCCGCTGCAGCGACGGGTGGCGTCTGGGGATCGCTGCTCCTCCTTCCTTCTCCTTCCTCCCTCCTCCCTCCTCTCCTTTTCATCCCTCCTCTAAGATCACTGCTGCCTCCGCTCCGCTCCTTGCTTACTCTGCCCCCCCCCCTTTTGACTCCTCACTCTCATGCCTCCTCCCCCTCCTCCCCGTCCCCCCCATCCTCATCCTCATCCTCATACTCATCCTCCCTCCCCCTCCTTTCCCTTCATTCCTTCCTCCTCCTGCCCTCCGCCCGCAGGCACCCGAGCGGGTCCGCCCCCCCCCGGCAAACAGGAGCGTCCTGGGTGCCACGCCGCCACCGCCAGGGACAGGTCCTTGACGCAAGGCCTGGCCCGGCGGCACTCCTGGTCTGGCTGCGTATTCGAGTTTAAGCAAATGCGGAACTGCCGACGCTAGATATCTCATGGACGCCGATGCAACAGTTGCACCAGGGCCGCTGTCTTCCGCGAAGGCCTTCGCCTGAGGAGGAGGAGGAGGAGGAGGAGGAGGAGGAGGAGGAGGAGGAGGAGGAGCGGGGGCGAACCACAAGAAGGGGCCGCCAGCAAGGGACAAGGGGGGAGGGGGGAGACTGGGGTTGGTCGTCGCGTGGTTGGGGGTTGTGCCCGTGGTCGTCGTTGTCCTGGAGGTCAGTCGCCTCGTCGCTTGTCGTCGTGGACGTCGTGGTCAATGTGGCCCTGGTCGCGGCTGGCCTGTTCTTGGCTGTCGTGCCAGATGGTTCCGTGGTAGTGGCGGTAGTTGTGGTGGTGGTAGCTGTCGTAAAGACGTGGTGCAGGGGCCTCACTGGCATATGGCGCTAAGCACCATCTCTGCGTTGCCGCGTCGGAGCTGTCGGGATAGCTTCCGCCACCCCCTGCCGAGCACCTCGCCCCAGGACACTGTGTTGACGTCGTTTCCACAAGTTCGTATGAACTCTGCGGCTTCGTCGGACGAGCGCCCCAACGTCCCGAAGACCCAGGGGGCAAGGTCACCCCTGCTTGGGGGTACTGTGTCCGCTTCTCCCGGACCATGTCGGCTGCGGCCACACTGTCGTTGTTGGACCAGGCTTGCCTGAGAGGGGCCTATTCTCTGAGTGTTTTCAGTTTGTGCTGTCCAGGCAGCCTTCAGCACTCCTGCGCACCAGTTCACGCGGTCACACGCTGGAGGAAACTGCTCCGTGGCCGCGGCATGCAGCTGTGCGCTCCTAACCCCGTGCCGTCGTGGCGTGCAGTGCGGGATGGTCCAAGTTTGTAACACCTCGCGTGCCACTCGAAACCATTTAGTGGCACGCCGCAGATGGTACCATCGTCGCGGCAGCGTTGGCGTGCGGCCCCCGGCGGGCAGACATAGCATTGGAGGCGAAGTTTCATGGTGGGGAGGAAGTGTCTGCCGGGCATGGTTAGGTCGCCCTCCTCTCAGGGCAGAACGAACTCGCGGGCTCCAGTCTTGCCGACGCCCAGGAGTGCTAGACGGCTGTCTTTCGAACGCGTTGAGAGATTTGATTTTGGTGGCCGCGGAGCGCGCCTCGCCCCACCTGCCCTGCAGCTTGGGGATGGGTTCTTGGAAGCAGCTCGGCCAATCGAATCTGGCGCTCATTGCCCCCTTAGGCACGGGCGTCGGCGTCAGATTCCAGAAGGGCCTGGTGCGTCCGGGGACACTGCGCCCCCCAGTCGTCCCGCTCTGGAAGCCAGTGGCCTGCGCGACCGCACGCTTCGCCGCGTGCGCTGGTGAGGAGGCGGTCTGGGCCGACGGGGCAGGACACGCCGCCGTCTTGGAGGCGCACGATGGGCTGCGCGCGCCGTCTGCAGCCCAGCGGGGTCCCGAGGTTTTCCTCCGATCAGCCGAAGACCACACTGTCGAGCTGGTCCGCCCAGGAGGGGTCGCAGCTGGCTCGCAACTGGTGCGCCACTGCGCCCTGGGCATATGATCGAAAGGGCGTGAGAGATGCCTCGGCCACAAGCCCCGACGCGCGCAGCACCCGGAGCTTCCCCGCGAACGCGATGGCATTTGGCCACCGCAAAGTCGCCGTCAGCCCTGACGTGGACACCGACTCGCTTGTCCGCCATGGTCCTGCCATGGCGCTTTGTTACTTGGACATTCTAGACGCTGCGGCACTCGGCCGTTGACCAGCGCGGGGGGGGAGGTCCGAGCTGGCGTTTTTGGTGCAAGTCTGCGTCTTCATCTGCAGCCCCTGCCGCGTGAGTGTCTCGACGACGACTTGGTCCGCCGCCGACGCGTATTCCGGCGGGAAGGACATCATCACATCGTCCAAGTAGATGAAGACTTTCTCGCAGGCGGGCGAGCTTCTATTCACAGCAGCATGGGTCTCGTCCAGAGCGTTGGCGATAGCGAGGGGAAACAGCCCTGGGACGAAGGGCAGCCCTGGTCAACCCCGCTGGTCGCCTGATCGCCTGCACCGTAGCGGCTGTTTCGGCGTCGTTCCAGAAGAGGTGCTTCGTTGTCCTGCCCAGCCAGACCAGTGCCGTTGGGCCGAGGTCTGGGGATCGTGCGGGCACGCTGTCCAGATTTCGCTGCCAAGGGATCGTGTTGAAAGCGTCCGTGGTGTCGAATGCGAGCGTCGCTTACTGCGGGTTTGCCTCCGTCAAGGCAGCGGGAGTCTTGCGGACGAACTCGCAGCCAGCCCGCCAGCTCTCG